CCTCACCTGATGCAACCATGGCATCAATCGGGGTGAGATCTTCGTTGGTATTCTCAACTTCTTCATACCAACGGATTTTTTTCCTGGAGGAGAACTTCTTGGACTTGATGGGGGAGGTCGATCCGGACGAGGATGACAAATACTCCTCGAACTTTTGCTGGTCAAATTCATACTCGACCTCCTCCTCGACCGGGATTGAGATCCGCGGCTGCGACGCAACGATCTCGGCAGCGAGATCGGTGGCTCCCACTGTGGTCGCCAGATTGTTCGCGGGAAAAATTATTTTCTTCATTGAGTTCATTGTTCTCTCAAGTAACTATTTTTCGGTTATAAAAGATCCAGTCTTTTTATAAGATCCGGTTACAACGAAATCAAAGAAAAAGAAATAAAAATTACAACTTTTCTCTTTTATCGAACGAATCGCGAGCTCCTGTTTTTTGGTCACTCGCTTGTGTGGGTTCTTTGCCTATGTCGGGGTTAATCCGTGGACCACCGCGCGATCTAGATCCGGTCGGATCTACGCAGTATGACGGGTGTTATTTCACAATGGAAATAACAGCCGAGGGTACTATTTCGCCAAGGAAATAATAGCCTTTAGTTCTCGGGATCAAAGGCCAAGCTTTGATCCGGAGGGAAAATGCGTAGATCTCAGATCTGGTCTCTCTCAAACTCCTGCCTTATTTGGCGTGGATGATCGCTAAGAACCAGCTCTGATATCTCCAAGTCCTCAAAGTTCCAAAGCTTTAATCTTTTTAAATTTTGAGACTTCAATCCAGCAGAGCTTCGCCTCCAAAAGTTCCAACCTCTTGAAAATGAGCCCCCCTAGCCTATTTATAGGCACTCAGACCTGTGCCTTGGCATAGGTGGCCGGGGCATCGAGCCACCAAAACTAGCCACCAATTGGTGGTTCGGCCACCGAGCCACCAAAAGGTGGCTCGGTTTTGGCCGAGTCCTCCAAATGTTAGTTTTTTTTGTTTTTCGGTTTATCCGAACTCTGATTTGTTGATCTGAACTCTGATTTGGCAGTCCGGATCCTGATTTGGTAGTAAATCCGCTTCGGTGTTCGAGTTTGAGTTCGGATCCTGATTTGATCTTGATTCGTTCGAGTCCGATCCCGATCTTGATTGATGTAGTGGACTCTACGGTTGAATGATTCGTTGATTGATCGACCCGTACCGTCGTTTGCGTGCGATTCGTTAACCTCGTCACCTCATTAATCCGCTTCATCGCGTCTCATTTAGCTTCGATATTGTGGTTTAACGATCATTCTTGGATTCATCGCCCGATGGTTCGTTGGTTTATCGAATCACCGTGTCGAGCTGTGCTAAGGGACCCATATGCAGTTTTATACGCCTACAGATATTTTGTGACATTTAGATCATGATGATTGAAGCGGATCATTAATTAGAAAAATCTAATTCATGAATCAAGAGGCACTAGCTTTGATCGAGTCTAAGGTGCCACCTTATGAACAATATACCCATATATATACAAATATATGTATATGTATATGTATATGTATATGTATGTATGTACGTATGTATGTATATGTATATGCATATGCATATGTGTGTGTGCACAATATAAGCCTCATCTATAATTTCCCATAAATCAAAGTGTTTAGATTGAACAAAAAGTTTAAATCTAACACACCATTGGGCATAGGGGAAATTATCTAATCTAGGAGCAATATTAATGGCATAACCTAAACCATGCATATCCATAATATAAAAGGCAAGCAAGATACAAATAAAGCTCAAAATTAGATTAGCACAATAAGCTAACTTGGATCTTTAACTCAAGGCGATTAGACCTTAAATCAAAGAGCACCAAGCTCTGATACCAATTGTTAGACCCTAGAGGGGGGGTGATTAGGGTCTTATGCTAATCTAATCCGATTAAATGCCAATTAAAATTAATTAACAAGTTATCCTAGCAAGTATGAAATACCACAAGAATTATGAGCTAGGATAAGCAATGTAAACAATGAGATATATCCTATATGATGAAATATATATATATGCAAGGATATATAAACTAACACAAGGGGTAAACAATGTGAACTAGATAGTGGATCATATAAATAATGAGCTAATGACAATGGCGATAAGAAATATAAACACAAGTATAAATAAACGCCAAAGCACACTCAAACACAAGATATGATCACGGAGTTCGGACCTTCCGTCCTACGTCTCCGCTCCCCACTCCCGGGGAGAAATCCACTAACACAATCCGGTTTGGAAGCCGGAACTTCTTCTACACACTCGGTTTTCTAGCTAACCGAAAACTCTACAACTCACACTCTTGCAATCACACTCTACACCCACTAAGTGTTGGACCTAGCCGTGTCTCCCTCAAGTGCTCGGTTACAACCTCTCCCTAGGCACGTCAACCGACGCCACTCCTCTTGGGACGATCCCCGACTCTCACCACACACTTCTCACTCGGTGTACAAGTGTATTACAAAGTGATTCTCACAATAAGCACAAATATAATAAGTGATTGTTCTCTACTATGGATGAGAACACAATGAAAGCACAACTCAAAGTTACAATCTCTCACCACCCAACTATACTATGTATGTAAATACTATAAGCTCAATGTGGGTGTGTGTAACAATGAGTAAAATAAAATCTAACTCAATTAGCAAACTAGCAATAATAAGAATATGAAAATCAATAATGAAATTGCTAGAGAAAAGAGTTAGAAAACTTCTCTATAAACACAAAGAAGAGGATGAAGAGGATTGAGAATGAATCCATCAATCTGCAGTGAAAACTTCCTCCTTTGTAAACAGAAACCCAAACTCAACCAAACAGTAAAACCCTAAACCCTTGCTTAAACTTTTCTTTTCTTTTAAAACATTTCTTAGATGACTGAAAACTGAGATCAAAGAGGGTTTTTATAGTCTCCAAAACCTCAGACCAAAACCCCTTACAAAAAGACCAAAAAACCATTAGCAACGGCTCAAAAAAGAGCCATTGGGACTCCAGCGGTCGACCGATGAAAATCGCGGTCGACCGTGAACAAGTTCAGAAACTCGGGAGACATCCAGAGAGTCCGTCGGTCGACCGGCGGAAATTTCGGTCGACCGGCGGTACTGTAGCAGATATATCCGAGTTTATAAAATTGGTTAAAAATAGTAAAACAGATCCAAAAATTATGAAATTTTGAGGGAAGGTTCTGGACATGTATAAAAACATGTTAGAGAAAGAATTTATGAAAAAGCATTTCCCAGTTGAGAGAAATAAATGTTTGAACACAGAAATACAGTTTCTGAAAATCTGCTGTGATACACGATTTTGTAAAATCAATTAGGCACAGTAAATCAACTCCAAAAATAATAAAATTTTGAGAGAAGTTTCTAAACATGTAGATAAACATGTCAGAGAAAGAATATTTCAAATATCACTTCCCATTTGAGAAAACTCATCAGTTTTGTAAAACATGCACGAACATGTGCACGAACGAAAACATGATTTTGTAAATTCCATTAAACATAACAAATCAATTCCAAACTTGATGAAACTTTGAGAAATGTTTGAAAATGATATTTTGAACATGTTACAAAAAGAATTTTCCAATTTGCATTTCCCAATTGTGAAATCTCATTATTTTGCAAAAGTGTTCAAAACATGAAAACCCAAAACCATGCATGTATATATATAACTATATATATACATAGAAACCAAATACGTGTGTGTATATGATATTGAGCTTAAGGTACTTCACACACATAATATAAAATCTAAACTAGATTACCCAAGCTTGATCTTGATCTTCATTGTAGCTCAACTTGGTACACATGCGGATGAAGCTTGAACTTGATCTTTAACTATGAATTGCATGTTGCTTCACTCCACAATTCCGCCAACCTCCATTTGATATCGTCGTTATGGCGCAATCCATCCATCCTCCAACAACGTTGTTTATCTATAATAAATACGAAAACACAAATACTAGACAAACAACATTAGTGGTAAATTGTTTGTTAAACATCATCAAAACAAAACTAGGTGCTGAGGCCGGAGAACCAGTTGATCGTGACAGATACCAGAGGCTGGGGGGAAGATTGATCTATTTGAGTCACACACGTCCTGATATCTCTTTTGCAGTAAGCGTGGTGAGTCGCTACATGCACGATCCGAGGAAGGGTCATATGGACGCTGTGTACCAGATTCTGAGATATTTAAAGAGTGCCCCCGGGAAGGGACTGATATTCAGGAAGAATGAACATGTGAACATCGAGGGTTATTGCGACTCTGATTGGGCTAGCTGTGCTGATGACAGGAGATCCACCTCAGGATATTGTATCTTTGTAGGAGGTAACTTGGTCTCGTGGAAGAGCAAGAAGCAATCGGTGGTAGCGAGATCAACAGCTGAAGCAGAATATAGAGCCATGGCCTTAGGAGTTACAGAGTTATTGTGGTTAAAGAGTATGTTGGTGGAGCTGAAGCTGGATCAAGGAGCCAAGATGAAGCTGTGGTGTGATAACAAGTCAGCCATCAGTATCGCCAACAACCCAGTGCAGCATGATAGAACCAAACACATCGAGATCGATAGGTTCTTCATCAAAGAGAAGTTGGACAATGGACTACTGGAGTTAAGTCATGTTCCAACTAAGGATCAGGCAGCAGATTGTCTGACTAAGGGGCTTAGCTCAGTAGATATGATTAGAGGATGTGACAAGATGGGCTTAGTGGATATCTTTCGCCCATCTTGAGGAGGAGTGTTGAAATAGTAATATGTTTAGGGGCTTATGTGTAAGTTGTAGGGGTCTATATAAGCCCATCTTATCTCATGAATAAGATTAGGGTTTTCATTTACAACAATAGCAACTAAGATATCAGTATAGCAACATAAACTTGGATTAAAAGTAATCAGTATGTATATTTGGGGTTTTAGAGCGGGAATCGAACCTGCATCTTTAGCTTGGAAGGCTAGTGGTTATAGTCGACGTTGAGTGGGTCTAAAAATAACACAGATTGAAGTTTGGGTTTACCCTTTAAGATAGATACACCTTAGAAGTTTTTTCTCTCTTTATCCGCCCTTCTTGATCTTTTTGTAGTATCAGCTGTGTGCAGGCTGTTGATGAGATCAAGAGACGGGAGAGAACTCCGATCATTCTCCTTTGAGGAAGAAGCACCAGGGTAAAATATACAAATTTTGTGGAACTTTTTTCGGTTTATCGAATTTAATAAGTCACGATCTGATGTGGTTGAAGGCAAGAAGTGAGAGCTGTGGAGAGGAGAGTGCTGCTTGAGACACTTGCAAGTAGGTTGCCATCGAATTCCATTTCATACTTGTCAAGGCTCAGAGGCCTCAAAAAGCAAGGGGATGGTGGGACTTTATTAGAGCTTGATGATGGATCAAAAATACTTGCTGAGGTATAAAATTTTAACTTTTTCAATAATTATGAGTATTTCTTGCTGGTGTCATGACTAAGGTTAGTTGGATAAATGAAGAATTTCTGTAAATTGATCCCTAATGTTTTCCCTAAAAACTATTAACTGCTATGAGGAATATATGATAACTCAGAAGGATTAAGTCATTCTAGAAGTGAAGAAGTGGGATATGTTAAAAGCGAAGGTAACATGTAATTAGCCAACGTTTTCCACATTTTGTTACAGAAAATAGCTGTATTCATGGGAACAGATGGAGAAGTAGACGGAGCAAAAGTGAGACATGATTAGCTCCTTTTTTTTGGGGTGTATTCTTTGTATTTCAGACTTAATAGTAGTATCCAGGAAGTAACTTTAATAAAGCAAAAAGATGATACAATTCATGAGATTCTTAATTAAGGTGAATAATTAGCTTGAGAAATTCTAACATTTTAACTTTGAAATAAATAGTGAGGTTAGTATAATTTTCATCGTAGAGTTTGTATCGACATATTTTGTTTCTCCATCTCATAAATAAAACTAAATATGTGCAATAAGGTCGATAATTGTACTGATAATTTTTATTCTACAGAAGCAAAAATTTGTAGAATAAAAATTAACAGTAATAGACAAATTATAATTAATAACTATAGGAGTAGAGCATGAGTACCCAAAAGTATAGGAGGGTACATATTGTTTTCTTGCAGCTTCAACCTATTTTTTTGTTGATAAACCACAATAGCCCATTGCAATAGACATAACGTAATTACTAACTATTACAAGTAGAACATGAGAACCCAGAAATTTAAGAGGATACATACCGTTTTCTCTCAGTATAAATCTTGATTCCCGATTGCCCTTTTTAAACCCTTCTCTTTCTCGAGCTAGTCACTCTCACTTTAATTTGTCACTCACCACTGCCACCTCCGCCTACTATTTGTTTAGTAGATGACGAAAACAAGAACAATTTTAGGTTATTGTGATCATGAAATTAGTGTATTATACATTCACTAACTTAATGACATTACTCCTAGGGAGAGATGCATCTTTGATGTTGGAGCTTTAATAACTAATTAGAATGTAACTTTTCTATCTGGATAGAGCGATAACATTGAGTTGTGTTGACTTCTTCAAACCTTTAGGGAAATAAAATGTACTATTACACAAGTTAGAACTTGGAACTTCATCTGAAAAACACAAATTTGTTATATTTACTTCTATTCCTCAGAAAATTAATTTATATTTGTAAAAGCTGCCATATATTTACATTACCAAATTGATGAGCTTGTTTTGACAATCCAAAGTTCATGGTTAATCTTGCTTTTTTATTTCTTATACCACCTCCCTTAGTTGAATGTTTGATTTATGTGCTATATACATTTCGATGTAACAAGATGACTAGTGCAGTATTCACCAATTTTTCCTTGACTTAGTACGGATCCATGTTTGCTTCCTGAACTCCTTTTTTTCCTCATGATGCAATTGAGTAATTTCCGTTAGCTGTATTTTGTATAATCAGTACATAAAAAGTGGAATAATAAGAGAAAAGAATAATTGACTAACTTTGTCCTAATTTTTACATGAGTCCTAGTTGTGTCCAAACATGCTAGTCTGAGAACTTCCTCTGGCATTGCATTCTCTACATGGTTTGCAGGATTCTCTTGTGCATTTAAAGCCAAGTTTTCAAGATAGTGATCCTATTGTTTCCCCAAGTGACTGTCGAGTTTTGGTTTGCAATAAAAGTTGTAGTTTCCTCTGAACTTCATTCTAATATACATATATTCAAGGAGTTTGTCTGGGTTGCCTCGACCTAAACATATATGTTTGCTATTCTGAGATGGCAACTTTTTAGTTTTTCCAGTGTCAATTCCTTAATTCTTTTCTAAACTAGTCTTTGTTGTAAACCCTATGATGATATAGCCAAAAATTACGTTGTTAACCATAAAGTTTTAAATTTTTGTCACAGATTGTGATTGGCTGTGACGGCATAAGATCACCAATAGCCAAGTGGATGGGGTTTTCAGAGACCAAATATGTTGGACATTGTGCTTTCCGGGGCCTTGGTCATTATCCTGAAGGCCAGCCATTTAAATCAAAAGTCAACTACATATATGGAAGAGGCCAGCGTGTTGGTTTTGTTCCAGTTTCTCCCACAAACGTTTACTGGTTTATCTGCTTCAACAGCCCTTCTCCAGGTATATTCATGAAACTCAGCCAGAAAATTATCGTTATTCTTGTATGTAGTTGACATTTAAATGAGCCTTTCACCAGTGTCATTAATCTTAAATTTCTAGCTAAACTTGAATGAAAAAAATGCAACGGTGTTTCACCTCAACATCATTATGGTTGTGCCACTGCCATGTAAGCTTTAAACTGTTGGAGCCTAAATTTTACCCATCAAGCATATTGGGTAGCTCTGAAAAATTAGGTAAGCATGTCGAGAGCAGTGGCGGATCAGAAAATTTTCTTTGGGGGGCAGACGACGAGTATCTATTTATCAAAAATTAAATATAATATTATAAAACCTTAATAAATGAGCTAAATTTTCTAAATTAAATGGGCAAAATTTCAAATAAGTTGCATGTTTGTAAGAGTTGGGGGTGCAAATACTTTTAAATGAAGGTGGCAAATTGCAAATTTAGGAGGTTTTAGAATGTAATTTTCATATTCCATGCAACTGCACCCCTATGTTTATATTTGCATCTGCCCATGGTCGAGAGTACAGGTTAAAAAAAGAGTAATGAATTTAAATAGAAAGTTTGGGTCAGTATGCAGCTGCACAAGCTTGAGTTAATTTGACGATCAGTATCTATTAACTATGAAGCATGGACACGCATAACATGAAGTTGTGGCGTGTCGTGTCTGTGTCGGACACACGTGTCGAACACACGTATCCTATGTATTTTTTAGGATTTGCCTCGTCTCGGCGTGTCGGATGGCCGTGTCGGATCCGTGTCTGTCCATTTATTCCTTAATAGGCCTGGTTATTCCCCAACATATATTACTACTCATAGACATCTTACTTTCCTCTGGAACTAAAGAGAGCTTTGTCACCTGTGTTGGCTTTATTTGGTTCCCAACATTTTAGCTAACCAAGGAATTTATACCCTTACAGGACCGAGGATCACTGACCCCTCCATACTGAAAAAGGAAGCCCTGAACCTCATAAAAGGCTGGCCATCAGAACTTACAGACATCATACAAAACACTCCAGACGACATTATCATCAAAACTCCACTTGTCGACCGATGGCTCTGGCCAGGATTCAGCCCACCAGCTTCAAAAGGCAATGTGGTCGTCATCGGAGATGCTTGGCATCCGATGACTCCAAATCTCGGTCAAGGCGCTTGCTGTGCATTAGAGGACTCTGTAGTTCTCGCAGGAAAACTTGCAGGGGCTTTAAGTAGCGGCAATGAACAGATGGTTGAGAGAGCGTTGAGAGAATTTGGCGAAGAAAGATGGGGTAGGGTATTTCCTCTGACAGTACGAGCCAATTTTGTGGGTTCTTTGTTGCAGTGGAAGAATCCTGTGGTTTGTGGACTGAGGGATAATGTGATGATACCGAAGCTTGTGAGGCTCGGTCCGTTCTTGGAGCATACCAACTTTGAGTGTGAGCTGATGGAATCGGTAGTATCGAGCTAAAATCGGTTATTTAGAATGTAGAAATGCATAGTTTGGACGTATGAGTATGACCAAAATATGGTTCAATAGCAGGTTGTAGAACTACAGAAATATGATCAATTTTAAAGTTGTTTATGCCTGTAAATATGATAATGGAAAGAAGAAAAAATTGCTGTATTTCTCGTTTGCTGTTGATGCGGCTAGAATTATGATCAAGGGCAGCAGGATGTTCTTAATAGAGGAAGCATGGGATATTCTTTCAGATCGGATGTGTCAATGTTACTTATTTTCAGAAGGGAAATGTGATAAAATAAAATAAATAATTTTAACCCGTTTGCTTGATCGCCTTGGATACGGCTGACGGTCTGATGAATAAACAGTAGCATGGTTTCAAGTAACTCGGGACATCATCAGATGTGCCCGTATTAATGGGATGGATAAGTATTACTTTGTCAAATGATTCTTTTGAGAAAAGGTGATATGATTAAATTAAAAAAAAAACAAAATTTTAACTTATGTTATCCTTGGTCTCCTTTGTTCTTTTTAGTCATGCATTTGTATTCAAAAGGTTAGTTGATTAACTTTATAATTTATATTTATTTATTTACTTATTTTAGTTTAATTTATAATATATAATAATTAGAAAAAATGGTCAGTTTAAATTGTACTAGTAATGAGTATGATACAGTGTGATATTTCCAAAAACGAACACGAATAAACGTGTATAAAAGGACATGAATGTAAAATAACTCAGATACTAGTACGCTCTCCTCAGCTATTCAATAATTTCATATTAGTCCCTAAAAGCTTTGAAATTGCTCACAAGTTAATCAAATCCTAACAATTATGTCCCATAATGACCAAAATGCCAATCAGTTTATGTTCCCTTTAATGCCTCTCTCGTTCGAACATAACATTAGCCGGGGGTACTTTGGACATATGAGCACTTTCAAATAATCAAGGGACTAGGATCAATCATTGCAGCCGGGCTTAAAGCATAACACCGTCAACTGAAACATTATATATTTGGCCCATCAAGTACATTGCTAGTGGGCTATAACCTATAATGGTCCATAAATCTTTGACGTGATCACATTTATATCATAGCATATCAAATATTATATTCTATTCTTTTCCTAGTCAATATCATTCTTTACTATTTTAAATATTTCATTTATATCTTAGTCTATCCTAATTATATATCATATCCTAATCTTACGTGAACTATATATAGCTCAACAATTTAAAAAATATTAATAAAAAATATAAAACAGCTTTACAGTATTAGTTTATTAAGATAAAGAAATTATATGTAGCTAATATACTATAATACATGAAGTATTACGAAAAAACCTAAAAAGTTTTAAAATTGTACAAAACACCCTGAAAAGTTTAAAATTATAAAAACATCTTAACGTTTCAAAACTTAAAACAACATGAAAGGCCCTAGGGGGGGTTGAATAGGGTTTATGGACAAATAATATGCAATTAAAAGATATTCTAATAAATCACACACAAAAATGAAATGTAATGATAATAAAAGATAGTAGGGATAGAGATAGTTAGCCAATTGATGACACGCGGTATGTTCACAAGGTTTGGTCCGCTGACCTACGTCCCCGCTCCTCACTCTCGAGGAGAAATCCACTACACACCTGGGGTTGGAAGCCGGAACTTCTTCTACACAACGATCTCCATCGAGATCTCTCAACCGCACAGTAGATCTCCACGAGATCAAGCTCACAACGGTAACAATTTGAAGAAAAACTCTCTCTTTACAGTAGCCCTATGGCAAGAGGAGAGATTGCAATTGAAGCTTGGGATGTGAACTTTGAAACAATGAAGAATAAGATTGAAAGTTGAAGCTCTTTGAAAACACAAACTTAAACACAAGATATTTGTAATAAAAACTTGGGTACTGAAGCAGTTAGGGTTGTTGGGTATTTATAGGAAGAGAATACAACAGTCAAAACTCCAAAGAATCAGGAGAAATCCCACAGAAATCGAGAAACAGATCCTGTAAAAACTAGCCGTTATTGTGCTTATCAGTCGACTGATGGGAGCATCAGTCGACTGATGAGCTGAGCGTTGTATTCAAATATCAGCTCATCGGTCAACTGACGATCACTTTCAGTCGACTGACAACTCGTCAGTCAACTGATCAGTCGACCGAAATAGAACAAAAACTTTCTGATGATTCCATGCACTTTCATTGGTCGACACATCAGTCGACTGATCAGTCGACTGATAACAAGTTATCAGCCTGAAATAATTTTGAAATTAAGTTTCAAAGCTCTATTAAAATAGTAAATAAATTCCAAAATTTGTGAAAACTTTGTAAATAGTTTATAAACATTTTAACAAACTTGTTTGAAAAGGAATTTTGCAAAAAAGGTCCTCGTATTTGTGAAAATCACTGTTTTAGCAAAAGTACCAAAATACGAGTTTTGAAAGTATGCAAGTGTGTTATCCCATGAGCTTTAAATGTAATCAACTAACTACTTGCCTACATTAAGTACGAGAGAGAAAAACAAAATAGCAAATATCCCTCACATATGAGTACATGGCTTGAGTCTTGATATTTGCTCTTGAGTTGATGAAGCTCTTCATGAATATAGTGCTCTTGAAAGCTTTGCTTCATCATTTTACCTCCACCTCCTTAGATATTATCGTTATAGCTCATTTTCCATCCAATCCTCCATGTAAGGTGCTAATGATATATGATCTATAATATATCTCAATAAACAATTAGCATAAAAAATGGTGTTTGTAAGTCATCATCAAAACAAAGGATCTAACACAACAAACATTAATCAAGAAATTAATAGCAGTATATGAAGAATCTAAAATTTTTAGTTAACACTTGAATATCTCAAAAATCATAAAAACACCCTCAAAAGTTTAAATTACAAATAAGCATCTTGAAATTCTAAAATTTTAAAATTTTAAAATAACATAAATGAATTCAAGAGATTACCATGATGCACCTGAAATTTTTTAACATTTCAAACTTAGAACAATAAACAAAAAATTAAGAAATTAACAGCATGCTCTAAAGACTTTAAAATTTCCAATTAATATTTTTAATATCTTAAAAATTATAGAAACACCCTCAAAAGTTTAAATTATAAAAAACCACCATAAAATTCTAAAATTTTAAAATTTGTAAATAACAAAAGATGAATTCAAGAGATTACCTTCATACATCTAAAATTTTAAAATTTACTAAAATTAACCTTAAAGTTACAAAAATTGCAACAAAAGACTTCTTCAAAATTTAAAAATCGCAAAAAACTCTAAAATTTTAAAATTTCTAACAAGTACACATTAAATCTAGAAAGTATTGTAGACCGCTGATATTTGAGTTTTTCAAAAATTAATTTATAATTTTAATAATTGTAAAAAGAATGCTTAAATTTTCAGAGTTGTAGGAAATATTCTGACATTTGAAAATTACTACTAACACATGAAACATAGAAGTTACAACTGGCAAACTTAAAAGTAAAATTTTTAAAAAACACTCCTAAAGTTTGAAAAATTACAAATCACGCCCTTAAAGTTCAAAACCACAAAAAAGGCTTAAAATTTAAAACATGGCAAAGAAATGTGTAATTATTGTTTATTATCCCTTTTCAGGATCTAAAAATAGTCTAAGTTGATGCTGGTAAACAAAAGTAAGAATTGATTAAAAATATTCGGTTAAGGAATAAAAATTTAAAAAAAATATGATAGCTTTAAAATTATTGTCACCATATAAATCAAAGCAATTGCATATAATTGTACTAATAAGTTGGAGCAGTAAAAATGCATTACTAACATTTAATTGTTAGATGTTTAAATTCATAAAAATGTTAAAAAAACTATAATATAATAGCGATTATAATTTAGAAACATTAATCTCTGATGTTAGTAATATTTATAAGGTAAAATAATACAATGAATTACATATGAAGAAACTATCATAATGTTCAAAGATATCATTCAAAAGCATCAAGTTATTTTCATTGCAAATGATAAAGTGACAAAAATAAATCAAAAAAAGAACTAACTGAGTTTCATTGAAGAATAATTTAACAACTTTATCTCAATTAAAGAAGAATTCTCCATGAAAGATATAAAAAAATTAGTAAGTATTCATAAATTTTATGCTTTGTTCTTCAAATACCAAAGAAATTAAATATTAATACTATAATCTAATGTAAATTGGTAATAAAAAATACAGGTATTTAGTTCAGATCTTTGTGAAAAATGTTAGGGATATAGCAAAAGTAATATTATTAATATAATAGAAACTATTATTAGATGCATATCAGAAGAATTCATTATAGATGAAAAAGAAGTAGCTCCTAATCTTATTTAAGTAATAAGTTTGGAACACAAATAATTTTATATATATGTAATTAAATATTATTCTCCTTGAAATAGGAAAAAAAATCAAAGTTTGTATTTCAAGAAGTTTGTGTTGAACATCAGAAATACATTCGACTTCTTTATGAAGTTAAACGAGAAGATCAAAGAATAACGAGCCTAGGAAAGGCAACAGTGTAAAAATTTCAACTCTAGCCTGATGTCACGATCGATGTAGATGATAAAGACACTATTCTAGAATTGCCGAGGAAAAAGATAAAGGTGAAGAAGGATTGATCTTAGCTCATAAAAAAAATAAAATAGAATAAATAAAAGATAATATTTTCTAAATATTTTATAGAATAGTTTAATTGTTTTGAGTGAAACTAGGGATCTTTAGATGGGAGTTTCATAAACTTTTTTTAGTACTTTTATATGCTTATATGGATGCATTTTATCATATAAAAGTATACTAGAGTTAGCATTAATATTTTATTTATAATTTTTATGAAGTCTATTAATGATTAGGAATAAATTTTATATTCTCTTTTGTATCGTTTTGGCATACTTTTAATCAATCACCTTGCCTTATTAGTTTAATTTAAATATTCACTTTTCTTGTATAACAATGTTTTAATATTTTTTACTTTCGTGACATTATACTTTTTCAAGTAAAGCTTGATTTTATGTTTGTCCAAATAATATAAAATTTAAATTAGCTTCAGATTATATTTGTATTCTATCAATTTAAATATCAATATGAAAATTTAAATTAGATATAGCCAATTTAAACAAACATCAAAGAAAAATAATTGCAATGTTAAATTTTAGACAAAAAGTAAGCACAAACTATCAAAGTAGAACCGATGAACAAATTTTAGTTAGGAAAAAAAATCAAAAATACTTAATCATGGTATCTAACCACGTGCATTTTACGTGTATAAAACC